CTTGACCGTCTTGCCAAAGTATTCTCATGCCTGAGACAACATGGCCTAAAACTCAAGCCGTCGAAGTGTAACCTTCTCCAAGAAGAAGTAAAGTATCTTGGTCACATTGTTTCGGGCAAAGGTATCTGTAGTGATCCAGACAAAACTGTGCAAGTACAACACTGGCCAACTCCCACTAGCCGCAAAGAATTACAACGATTTCTCGGCTTCACCGGCTACTATAGGCGATTCATTAAAGCGTATTCGCACATTGCCTCACCTCTCTACAAACTCACATCCGGTGACCCAAGACGGAAGAAGAAGAAGATCAGAAAAACCTCTACATCTGTAACCCCACCATTCATTTGGACGGATGATTGTCAGAGGGCCATGGATCAATTGAAACAACAGTTGACATCTCCACCGATCCTCGCCTACGCCAACTACTCACTCCCATTCATCCTGCAGACTGATGCGTCTGGAGTCGGGCTCGGAGCTGTTCTCAGCCAAGTACAGGAAGGAACGGAACGAGTCATCGCATACGCCAGTAGAGTTCTCAGCCCCGCCGAATCTCGCTACCCAGCGCACAAGCTAGAATTCTTAGCGATGAAGTGGGCAATTACTGACAAGTTTCGAGATTACCTACTGGGCAACCAATTTACAGTGCTGACTGATAACAATCCTCTCCTGTATGTCACCACCTCTGCCAAGCTAGATGCAACAGGCCAAAGATGGATTGCTGCGTTATCCCAGTTCAACTTCACCGTGAAGTACAAACCAGGCAAGAGCAACGAAGCAGCCGATGCGCTATCTCGCAAACCACATTCTGATACCTCGAGGACTCTCCTGACATTCCAGAAGGACGCCATCACCATCCCACCTCACATCGTGCAAGCCATCTGCAACAGTCACCCACTAGAACCAAATCTCTTTGTACAGCCTCCATTAGCTAGATGTGAAGTCACGACCGAGAGTCACATGCCTGGACCAACCAATGACTTGCCTAGACTATCCAAAAAAGACATCATTTCAGCCCAGAGAAGTGATCATAATATCGCCAGAGTCATACACTACATGGAGAAGGGCAGAAAGCCAACCAGAGAAGAGAGAGGTTGCGAACAGCTTGGATGTCTCATCTGTTTACGACAATGGGCAAAGCTCCAGATGAGGGATGGCGTGCTCTATCGTCTGAGAAAGAACCAGGATGGATCAACAACAGAACAACTTGTTCTTCCTCAACAATACAGAGACACTGTCATGAGATCTCTCCACAATGACTTCGGCCACCTTGGCTTCGACAGAACGCTCGACATGGCAAGAAACAGGTTTTTCTGGCCTAAGATGGCACAGGACATCAAAACCTGGTGCGAGCACTGCAAGAGATGCTGCCTGAGGAAGACTCCCTCCCCAAAAACTCGTGTACCTTTGGTCAACATCAGCACAAGCGAACCTATGGAGCTACTTTGCATCGAATATCTCAAGTTGGAAAGGAGCAAAGGCGGTTATGAAAACATACTGGTCATAACCGACCATTTCACCAAATATGCTCAGGCGTTCCCTACTCGCGATCAAAAGGCCGACACGGTTGCCAAGATACTCTGGGAAAAGATAATTCAGCACTATGGATTTCCGGTGAGAATACACGCGGACCAGGGTCGTAATTTCGAAAGTCAGCTCATCCGGGAACTCTGTAAGATCTCTGGCATCAAAAAAAGTCGAACAACCCCCTACCATCCTCAAGGGAATGGCCTTACAGAACGCTTCAACCACACTCTGCTGAACATGCTCGGTACACTTGAAGAAGACCAGAAGAAAGACTGGAAACAATACGTAGGAACAATGACACACGCCTATAATTCCACACGACACGACTCTACCGGTTATGCTCCATTTTATCTCATGTTCGGCAGACATCCAAACCTACCAGTTGACTTGATGTTCGGACTCAAGTCCACGGAGAGAGAAACACCAAATTACGATGAGTATGTCGAACAGCTGAGGGACAGACTTCAAGCCTCGTACAAAAGGGCTAGCGACTTCGTCAAGCAGGCAAAGGCGAAACAGAAACGCCTTTATGACAGAGGTTCCTGTATCGCCCCCCTACGTATAGGTGACAGAGTCCTTGTCCAAAATAAACATCTGGTCGGAACTAGCAAGTTAGCCGACAGGTAGGAGTCACAACCCTACGTAGTAATATCTAAGCATCAAGACCTTCCGGTGTATACCCTCCGTTCTCTTAATAATGGAAGAGAGAGAACCGTACACAGAAATCTGCTGACTCCATGTATGTTTCTGCCCATGGAAGAGGCCAGCTTGAGATTAGACGTGCCCCCGATGAACACTCAAACAAAAACAGAGTCAGACAAGGAACAGGCAGATGACCAACCTCAAAAGATAGGCATGGAAGAAAGTGAAACCAGCGAGGAAGAGGTGGACATAGCATTTCTCCCAGTAGAAACAGAATCACCTTCACCTTCACCTCCACCACCTGTGCTTACTCCAATGATTGATCTTGGTACGAGAAACAGTGATGATACTCCTCCTTCAATCTTACCACCATCACTAACTCCTGAGGTACTGAGCACGCAGGCTAACGAGACCCCAGATGAGTTAAACATCTCTGACAGCACAGCTTGTCTCACACCACCAAGCCCTAGACCTACCAGAACCAGAAGACCTGTCAGTAGGTTGACATACGACTACCTTGGTCAAAACAAACAGCAGCGAGCACAGTACCAATCACATCAAGAGAGAGTCAACGCCGGAAGACGACTGTTTGAAAAGTGGAAGGAACCAAAGATGGCCGAGACAAGAAGAAAAGCTTGTCTAAGACTCCTTCTGCGAGAAAACAGTCCAATCTAACCATGGCTCTATCCCAAATATAATTGTATATATTAAATTTAATTTGCTTTTAATAATGATGTAAGATTATCTTGCGAACATTGGTGACCGAGATCTTGAAAAGACGAAAATTATGATCTCTTTATTTTCATGTATATTATGCATTATGCTATTTCAAGGCTGATCTTCGTAATCAAAGGTGGATTATGTTAATTTCTTTTATATAGAAAGTGATGTTACCATGTATATATCTTCTGCATCAGAATAAGTTAACTTAATTGTCCAAAACGACAGATTTTCAAGGAAACATTTTGATATTAATCTAAGTGATTTTGGATAACTGGTGTTCTAATTAAGTTAAAGAATACTTCTTTTTGACTTCTTTGAGTTTCCGGAGGACGAGGAGCCGACCGGATGTTTGATTTAGTGGTTATAATAATGACATTAGAAGGTAGAAGTCATGATTCTGTTTATCTTTATTTAATTATTCTGTATTACATTTTTTTTTAATTATTTAATACTTTCTTATATTATCATTGTATAAATAGTGTACGTTAAACAAAATGTCGAGGACGACATTTTCTCTCGAGAGGGAATAATGTGACGGTTGCGATGCGAACCCCCCTCTATTTATTTTTACATTACGTAATCGTTTTCTGTTATTTAAATTGGCGAGCGCCCTCTTGGTTTTGTAAACCAGTTCGCGCGCTTTCCACATTTCGTCATTCTGTTTTCGGTCGAAGACCAAGTAACACGTTGTCTTCGTTCCTCAACAGGTAATGATCTTTTTACATTTTACCTCAATATTTCTCATAATAATAACTTATATTAATTCACAGTTAACAGGTACTATCCTTGAGTAGATTTAGATTGCTCTTAGGTCATTTTAGTTGATTTTGGAAGCATTTTCGACTATTTCAGGATATTGATTGATTTGTGATTTTTCATGTATTCAAGAATTCATTTAATTATCTTATCGTAAGAGTGATAGATATTTCGATATTGTAGAAGAAATTCAGCAGTTCATTTCTTCATTATTATATAAGATTGGATTAATTATCTTGTATTTATTGGGTTTTCACAGTAAAATTCAATATTGCGGACGCTGCCCGAATTTAGGCGCAAACCGCGGGATCTTGAGTAAATATTGATGAATCCTTTTTGGTATTAAGTATCTAGATTTTTTCATAAGTATTTTGTACAGTCATTCTTTTGTATTTTGTATATTTGATTCTGTTTTCGGTCGAAGACCAAGTAACACGTTGTCTTCGTTCCTCAACAGAAATAAACCAGCACAAACTGAGAATCAGCCGTTCAGCCCGTATTATTTAGAAGGGTCACAAAACGAACAAAATGCACTAACTACAAATGATGGACTATAGCTTTAATGACTTATTCGCTCTCTCGCATAAACACTGTGTATGTCAAAGTGAAATTATGAGAATCCGATGCACGGTAACTCGCTGCAGATCGTTTTCTAAAGACCCACTGTTTCCAGTGTTTACGGAGGATTCCATATCTAGACCAACCATAACTGCTGCTGGGGTTCTGTGCTTATAATTATTACCGTCGAAGAAACTTCAGTCATTACGCATGCGGTGCCGCGCCATTTCATCAATTTCTGAAATTGTTATGATTTCGCAGTCGTATTGGCAATGCGTAATATTTCTGCGAATTTTAACTCGCTGCACATCTTTTCTATGATACATCCAATATTGTAAATGTTCACGGAGGTTTCCATAATATTGTAGAACAACCTTGACTGCTGTTGTTATAGGTTCTGTGTTTATTACCGGAAGGGGCCTCAATTCACGTGTGGTGCCGCACCGTTTCATATCGATTTCGGACTATTATGTCCTACCAGCGCTGTAGACGGAGGTCATTGTTGAATTTAGCGACGATATTTTATTAAATCGAAAACTGCACAATCAGCAACAAGTTCTCATTGGTCAATGCGTCACCCGCTTCCAGCATAAGCTCCGCCCACAATATAGACCTAATCCAAAGAAAACATGTTAACCTTCATATCAAATTAAGGTTCTCACCTAATTGGCTAGATTTACCGTTGGTCTGATGACGTCATCCTGTTTGGTGGTTTACGTTGTTGCCGAAAACAGATTGGTGCGGTTTGTGTGTCATACGATGCAACTGACAGATTCTCGATCATTGCATCAGGGAGAATGGACGGAGCAGTAGCTTGGATTCTGATGGCATCAGCAGTGGCAGGTAGGCTGGAATTATCAAACTTTTTTTATACTGAAACATCTTGTTCTCTTCTTTATTTTTTTTTTTGGGGGGGGGTAACGCGTTTGACAATGATTTTACCGAAAATTACGGCACTTTTTTAATAGGCGCGAAGGGCCTCTACGCGCCTATCAAACAAGGGCCCGTGATTTACGGTAAGTTTATTATTTATAGGATGATCCTGGCGTCCCGACATCTAGGAATTTCCCGTAAAAATACGGCTTAAGTTTCACACTGTGTGGAAATGTTTATTTAACCAACAAAATGGGTGCAAGTGCGCAATTATTGGACGTATATCTTCAATCAATAAATTTGCCAAATTTATAAAGACCAACTAAATGGTTCGAAATTCACTCCAAAGAAATGGATACGGGGGAAACTCTGACAAACATTTACATGGGGTAAATTAATGTATTAATATATAGGCTTGTAGGTTGGCGCGGACACCCGGGATTTCTTTCCTACTGGCCATTCATGGGCATCGCCAGGATTTTTTCCGGGTGGGGGAGGGGCAAAGCAAATATTCCCCAAAATTTCTTAACTTGTTCATTGTATTCTCAATTTATCAGGAGAGCATCCCCCCCCCCCCAATCAAATTAACAGCAATGTGGCTTCGCACCTATTTTTCCTTTCTTCTTTTTTTTTTCCTTTTTCCTTTTTTTTGGTTTTTTGTTTTCCGGAGGGGGGGGCAAGCCCGCCCCTCCCTCCCCCCCTTGCGTCGCCCATGATACTGGCTTATCTAGCTCCCAGACCTATGTTCTTGAAACTCAGTGGTTCTTGAGTCTGGAGGGCTGAATGGTAACACATAGCAACCGATGAAATGTTGTGTACAAAATAGATGTTTTCATCGGATGACGTCAGCTCGCCCCATCTATAGGCATTTCGTATATGCTCACCAATATTGATATCGAAATCGGTTCTGAAGTTTTACCCAACTTTCAACGACCGTTATCGGTATTAATCCAAAGTGTTCTTGGTTGGTGTGGAGAGCAAGGCGAGGGTGTGTTACTTCGGACCCCCACCGGAACCTGATCCTGAAAATCCGGATGGCTGGATGAAGCAAGTCATGCAAGAGGTACGGGCGCGTTGCCCGGGACAGGGAAGGAGGCAACCTACCACAGCTGGTTAGTAAAAATTACTATCTTTCTGACGTCACGGTGATCGCAGGGGAGTTTGCCCTTGTGTAGGCATGCCATGCTTATAGTCTGCATCTTCAAACGACCACCAGATATATGATTATCTGAGCTCTATCGGAATAAGCAAAAGCCAGTTACAAAGTATAGTGTTATAATCTGATACAGGCCTATACAAATGGTGAATAACATGGCTTGAAATGCAAGAGATACGGGTAGGCTATAGATTATTCCGTTAAATGATAATTCAAGTACCTAGCTAGTAGAGCAAAGGTAATATGTTGAACTGATAGAATAAGAATATAGGTCTACGTTTTAATTTCGCCCCATGGTTGTCCTTCTGCCTAAAATTGTTGTCCACTCCCCCAAAAATATTCTCTACCAAAAGTTAAAGAAAAAGAGAGGGGGAAAAAAAATTATGTTCTGAGCAAACTGGTGGGTGAAGAATCATTTTTATATTCTAAAAACTACCGGATCAGATTGACCAGGAATCCGGGTTCTTTCGGCTTAAAATGACAATACGGGTCAAAAATGACAGGTTTCCGGGTCAATAATGAACCGCTGAAGTGTCACTTTTTACCCGGAAAAGTTTCAATCTGACCGGGGAGTATTAGGAGTCTTTATATTATGTTTTCCCCGCCATGCAGGAACAGCGGCGTGTTCGAGTCCGGAGCCCCTAGGTATGGAGGACCGGACCATCCCCGATGATCGCATCAAGGCGTCCAGTAGTTTGCTGTGTTGCCCTGCCAATAACTCACGTCTCAACGGTGACACTGCATGGGTAGCCCTCGAGTATGTATTAGTACAACACTTGCATCCCTATGAATATACATTGTGACAAACGCAACATGATTTATTTATTCAATTATTTTGTTTCTCCTGGTATTGAAACCAAGGATTCCTCAAAAGTACCCTATAAAGCACTGTAGCTCGAAAGCCTGAAGAAACCTGAAGAGAGGAGACAATGGGAATACAGTTGTAGAGGTGGGAGGAAAAGCCCAGAAGAATATTCTGAGGGAAACCCACGGAATCAGGTAGGGACTGAAATCCAATCCACAATATTGGCCCCGGGCGGGATTCGAACCCGGGTCACAGTGGTGGAAAGTAACGCTGCCCGCCAACCTGACTCCCCTTAAATATACATTGTGACAAACGCAACAGGATATAGTGAAATGAAACGAAGCAAATTTGAAAAGTAACACAATACAAAGAAGTCTGTCTAAAGACGATGGCAAATCCAAACGGGGTTTGGGGTTGTTGCGCTAATCCCCCCTCCCCCCTCACTGTAGCTGCTTTTGCTATTAGTAAAATAAGGCCAAACATAATAAATGGAATCATAGTTAAATTTACTTCCCGAATTGCCTCCACTCTACCCCCTCCCCCATACCAATCCCTATTCCTGAAAGTTAGATCATGTGTTCGATCTGCACGGCACCATTCCCCTCAGCGGATTTCAATGCAAAGTATGTTTTGTTTTCCACCACTTCACATTTGTGTACAGTTCCGAAGCCCTGAATTCCTGGATTGGGGTGAACCTCGTCAAGAGGACAGTGGTGTCCGGCATCACCACACAAGGACATCACTATGGAGATCATACAACGAAGTACAAGGTGGCGTATAAGGAGCGGCCCTCTTCTGCCTATGAATATGTGACCGATGGAAACGGTGACATCAAGGTACACATAAAACATTGCACTCGATTTATATGCATTTAGTATACATTAAACTACGATTTCACGTTTTTAATCGACTGGTTTCTTGTAAACGTCCTTTATCCTTTCCATCCGTAAAAGTGAAACTACACGGACAGGACAATTCACAGTGAAAATCATTCTTACGAATTGATCGGGTTTTCACTCTAGTTTTCCGTGGAGTGCAAGGATATTTTTCAACGAATCTAAATCGAAAATAGGAGTAATTTTTGTTCTGAATCGTGTATTCTCTAGTCTCACTCTCAGAAAATATAAGTTTTATTTGAAGGAACCTAGGAATATATAAAGATATATAAAGTGATTTCCGACCCAGAGATTAATATCAATTTAAGCCTGAATTCTGAACGATTTTACAGCAAAGACATTCAGCACCATTTGTTTTTTTCAATTTTGGATGGAGTTCGCTCAAGTTTGTAGTCGATTTTTTTTTTAATGTTAAAACATAAATAATTAAATTAATTACAGGTGTTCATCGGTAACACTGATGGCAGCAGTCCGGTCACCAATATGTTTAATGAGAACGTTGTGGCCACGGTAGTGCGCATAGAGCCAACTGCCATCTATGTTCATGCTGCTCTGCGATTTGAGTTGCTGGGATGTCGCCTGGGTTAAAGCAGCTTTGACATTCAGTGTGATTCTGATTATCTCGGCTAGCACTTTCTTACTGAAAACAGACCCGGTTCAACAGTGATAAACGTAACTAACTGGACATCTTGAACAAAAGGAATAATTGTGGCCTATTTAAAACTCGCCATATTTTGCGAGCTTGTAATTTTCGAGTTTCACCATGAAAAAAAATAGATTTATTTTTAATTAATTTAACACTGCTATATTTTCTAGCAATATAAAACACTATTTAGTTTTGAATAAGACTTCGAAAAGCAAAATCGATCGAAATTTAGCTTAAGGAATTATTACCTTACAAATTTCAAATAATTAATCGGAAGACAATATAGCCACATTGATTTACCGCAGTATAGACTGGTTCCCGCCTCCTTCTGGTAATAATATAACGGAAAAGTCGTTGGAAGAAACAAATATCGATTTTGTTGTACAGCGCGTGCCATACAAACTTTAATGTGGTTTGAGCTCTTAGTTGTAGCGTTGTTCATGCTTGTGAATTTTATCTGAATGAGGAAGCCTTCGTGGTTTAAATTAATTTTTTTGTAAGTAGTATTTAAAGTTGAAAGTCATGTACATTTGAATATATAATCGCATTAAGAAAAAAAGATCAGTGGTATATGGGTTGCTAGGCACATTGGTTGTTCGATTCATGTGACGTGGTACGCCCGTCCGTGTCGTGGGTTCGAACCCTGATGGGGAACACGGTGCTTGTGTTCTTGGGCAGGACTACTACAATTGCTCCTTTCCACTCATCAGGAATATAAATATGTGTACATGTAAAAGTAGAGACCAGATAGCACTGATGAACACCGGGTAATAATAATTTGTGAAGCGCTTTCATTTTTATATAAGCACGTGATTAATGTTAAATCCTTTTCAAGACACAACTAATTAAGTATAAAGTAAGATTTGGCTAAGATTGTTTTTAAATGTTCTGTTGTGAAAAAAAGTTAAACTTTGCAATTCGGATGCTGCTTTAGCCTTGTGCAGTAGTTTGCTTCGTTGTATAAATGAAGATGTACGCAAGTAACTTTTGGCTTCTTGTTTGATTTGAAGTGTTTTGTTCGACAACATTAGCAACCTTCAAAAATAGGCAATGTTGATATTGCAAGACTTGATTTGGGTTTTGCTCTCCTGCCACCGGCCGATTCTTGCACGTCAAGCGCAGTCTAGCTCCTGTGGTGGGCGAAGGGAACTAAAGGGTGAGTCAGAATGATCTGGAGCCAAACTAAAGAAAATGTTTTTAAGATATGTAGCAATTACCAAAACAAGTCCAAATGAGATATGTTATAGGCTCGTATTTTGAACATATTTGGTGAAAGTTTCGTGTACATGTATATCCATTGCACAATTTTGAATAAAAGCGCCAGAAATAAAAACACAAGCTATGAAAACACTCTGACCATGCTTCGACTCCATGGTTCGACTAATTTATTGAAATCGCGTACTTTACTGACGTGAAGCAGTATAATAAATAAAAACCTATGGTGACTGACTCACTTGAAGTTATTGACACACTAAAAAAAAGCATTACCTATTCTGTGTGCATCATGGAAAATGAGCCGCTCTAATGAAAATAGCATAGTTCCTCAACAGAGCCAATAATTTGAAAAAAATTGATGTGAGATTGCACCCCAGATCCTTTACTGTCTGATTTTTCCATTGCCAAATCCAAAAACCGATTGACCCCATCGATTATCGATGAACTCCCGAATACATAGACGATGAATATTCTTCGTTGATTTTTGTTATAATTTAACCACTCTTCTCGAGCCTCAGGTTTCTACTTCATTTCGTTCATATATAATCAATACTCATCCATTCTCTTTTACTAAACATATTTATGGTATCTATTATCAGCTACAAGTGGTTTTGTCATATACGTGCACATTACACTTCCCACCTATAATGAGAAACACAATTAGTAACATTATAAAGATAATACCAAAACCAGTTATGAATCAAGAAGCTCGAACAGAGGCTTTGACACTGGTTGCGATGCATTACACCATTTGGAAGAAATGAATCATAAAAAAATTAATACGGCCTCCCATCTCCCCTTACAGCCGTCCTGTCCACACCATTGTCAACGAAATTGCAACCAATTTACAATTAATCAATTAGGCCTCCGTAATACAAAAAAACAATCTAGGTACACGCTCCGATAACAGATATGCTTACCCGCAATGATCAATCAATCCATGTGCGTAACTTTTTTTTTCTTAGCAAACTATCATGGAACATGTTCATCATTCCACACCATACAGTTCTTATAACGGCCGCATCAGCGTAATCGAATCACTGTTCCTTGCAATCACCAATCATTATCGAGAAATAATCGATTCCGGATTTAAACACTCAATATAAAACATGCATAAAAATAAGTGTAGTACGAATAAAACAAATTTAAAAAACCATATCGGCCTCCCATCTCCCCTTACAGCCGTCCTTTCCACACCATCAGCAGTAAAATTAAAAAAAAAAACTATTTATCATAAAGGTCTGAAAACGAGTGACACTGATTAATCGACAAAATTAGCACTTTCCACATACGTTTATTTCAATCATTCGAAATTGAACCTTTATACATACGTTTTGTTCTCGATCAGTTGTGACATTTTAGACATAACAAAAGTCATAATCGGACACGTGTGCGTCTTCCACCCTTGATTAGTCGGAATATCAATTATTTAAAAACAAATAACGGCCTCCCATCACCCTTTACAGCCGTTCTTTCCTCACCATCGGCAATACAATTTCAAAAAGACCACTCTTTGTCAAAAAAATCTGAAAACAGTGACACTGATCAATCGATAAAAAAGCACTTTCCATATATATTTATTTCAATAATACGAAATCGAATCTTCATACATACGTTTTTCTTTTAGATTTAAACAAACAATGTAATAGTTGGACTCGTTTGCGTCTTCCCTCTTGGAAAAATACCAATGAAACTCCCTGCAGTAAATACAACAATAAGTAAGCCTTTTGGTTCCAGAAATATCAACACTTCTGAAAATAATGGATACGATTTACATCGGCATACCTTTATAGTATATACGTTTCCCATCGGGACATAAGAATGGATTTCATCATCATCATTATCATAAGCCCATGTCATTCCACTGCTGGGCGAAGGCCTCTCCCAAACGGTGCCAAGTATTTCTGTTATGTGTGTGTCTTTGCCAGGCTGTTGATCCCACGTGGCGGACTATCTCGTCTCCCCATCTTGCTTGAGGTCTGCCACGTTTTCCTTTTCCGGAGAGAGGTTGCCATTCTGTTGTGATTCTGCTCCATCTTTCATCTTTTGTTCTGCTTAGGTGTCCAGCCCATCTCTATTATCCCTTTTGCTGTTTACTAAGGCATTATCGATGTTTGATTAATCCCTGATCAAAGCATTTGTTTTGCTGTCTCTCCTTGTGTATCCAAGCATCATCCGTTCCATGCTTCTTTGGCCTGTTTGAATTTTTCTTTCCATTTCCTTACTCAAAGAACATTGTTTCGCTTCCTTATGGCACACACACTAGTTAAAAAATTTCATTTTGTAAACAGTTTGGTATTGTCTTCTCTGAATGGATTTAAGCACTCAATATAATGCATTCATAAACATAACTGTACTATGAATAAAACAATAAAAATAAAAACGGCCTCCCATCTCCCCTTACAGCCGTCCTTTCCTCACCATCGGCAATACAATTAAAAGACAACTATTTATCGAAAAAGTCTGAAAACGAGTGACACTGATCAATCAATTCCAAACAGCACTTTTTATATATATTTATTTCAATCATTCGAAATCGAACCTTCATACGTACGTTTTTTCTCAATCAGTTGTGACATTTACACAAAACAAAAGTCGTACTCGTACTCGGACTCGTGTGCGTCTTCCACTCTTGAGTCAGAATATCAATTACAGTCCCTGGAATGAATAAAAAATAAGTAAGCCTTCTGATTTCAGAAATATCAACTCTCAAGTTCCGAAAATATTTGATACTGCACAATTGTAATCTGGAATGTAGGAATCCAAGCTAATTAAATTTGTTATGCAGAAAATATTTTACATACTGCAATCAAACATTCCCTTAATAATCGCTGAGAATGAGAGTTACAGTGTTTGTTAAGGGATGTGTTCTTGCAGCCGTAAGGTGAGACCAGCTCTTCGTCTTACTCTGGCCATGGCGGGTCTTTTCCGTCTTTCCTGTATCTCTCTACCAGTCTACCCTGCCTCCAGCTTTCTGTTGAACTCATCAGAAGACGGAAACTTGGTGACCCGTTCAGGTCTGCCCGAGTACTTCATTATGTAAGACGATCAACTGGTTTGCGGAGTCTGTTTGGCCTCGACGGCGGGATTTCTGCGCGACATCTCCATCTTCTTGGGGTTGTTCTAGACTGACCATTTTTCTTTTGGGGGGAGATGAAGGAGACTCTGAAGTGGTCAACATCCGCTAATTATCCGATATGCCGGTTATAGTATAGGCTATTATGTCACATTTTTGACCTTTGCATTTATTTTTGCTAAAGAAGGAATTTTTGACATATTTGGGTAGAGTTTACCTTCCTAAGCCAGAAATCCATTGGTAACATTTTTTTCCATCTACCATGTGGCGGCCATCTTGGATTTCAAAATGGCGTCCATTTCGGACCTAATTTGTATCATAACTTCGGATCTGATTGTCACATGAAGTCCATTTTGGTGGCAAACCCTATGTTTTTGATACCAAGGAACCCAAGTAAGGTGTTGTTGATGCGGTACTCCCAATGGATGGCAGCCATCTTGGATATTTCAAAATGGCCGCCATTTAGTACCTAATTTGTATCATAACTTCGGACCTGATTGTCATATGAAGTCCATTTTGGTGGCAAACCCCATGTTTTTGATACCAAAGAACCCAAGTAAATCATTGTTGACGGGGTACTCCCAATGGATGGCAGCCATCTTGAATATTTCAAAATGGCCGCCATTTCGGACCTATTTGTATCATAACTTCGGACCTCATTGTCATATGAAGTCCATTTTGGTGGCAAACCCCATGTTTTTGATACCAAAGAACCCAAGTAAATCATTGTTGACGGGGTACTCCCAATGGATGGCAGCCATCTTGGATATTTCAAAATGGCCGCCATTTCGGACCTAATTTGTATCATAACTTCGGACATGATTGTCATATGTGACTGTGTGACTTCTGGACGATGTGACGATGTGATGCTGTTCGACGATTGGACCCCACGTTCAACACTGTTTGACTATGTGACGATGTTTGACGATGGACGATGTGACGATTTCGTGATGTGAAAATATAACAATGTTTGGCGATGTTTGGCGATGTTTATATGCTCGGGGATTAGAGCTAGGAGACCACCAGTAGACCTTAAATGCTTAAAGCCATACTTGACGTCAGTTAGAAGATTGATGTGCTTCAAATGATCTAGCTAATAAGCCGACAGTTAGAGGAACCGGTTTTCTCGCAAGAACCATTGACGATGCGACGATGTGATGACGATGTGACGATGTTTGACGATTTGACGATATGACGATGTGACGATCTTTGACGCTGTCGACGATGCTTGAAGATGTGACGATGTGACGATGCGACGATGTGACAAATTGACGATGTTTTGCGAGGTTAAACGGTGTGGCAATTTGTTGATGTGACAATATAACGATATTCGGCATGTATACATGCTCGGTGATTAGAGCTAGGATCAGGACACCAGAGATAGACCGTGAATGACGGAAGCTACACTTGGCATCAGTTAGAAGATTTAGGTCCTCCAAATGATCTCCAAGATGCAGGCTGATGAGGCAATCGAACTATTTACTCATGATGGGAAGCAGGCTCCTAAGCCAAAAGTAAAAGGGCTCAGACTTCTACCCAGCACCATTGACGATGTGACGATGCGGCGATGCGACGA